TTTTAAGTATACATTGACAAGTGTTTTAGATACACAATGTACCTGTTCATTGTTTATACAAATTTTAATATAAAATTTTGTTTTCTGAATTTGTTTCTTCTTTTGTGGCATACTAGAAAAATATATTAATTAATGGAAGTAAAAATTTTCATTTCTCACCAATTGGAATTATTCAACATAGTGTGCAGTAAGTTTAAGTTTAAAGCTTAGCTAAATGCAGGTAAACGCGATAGTGTCGTTCAGACTGGGTAGGGAAAGGAAACACATAAAGCAGTGCGAGCATTAATTACGAGTTCCGCAGGCAATCGTGTTGTTATCGCAACTTCGCGCGACTCCACCGAGTGGTGTGATGTGTCATTGCAAATTATTATTTATTGATAACTAACTGTAAGTCATAGTTTTGCCTGAACTAAAAAGAAAAGTATTCTAAATTTTCGGAGTTAGTAAAGAGACGTGTAATTAACACGATAAAGTTAGAGCAGTATAGGATTATTTAGATGTTTCGATCAATTTACACTAGCCGTGGTCACTTGTGAGTAAGGCCGTGGCCTTATATATATTTAAAAAGAAACTGAAAAGGTATCTGATAGAAAATATTTATGTGTTTTTACTCAGTTAATAAATATTTTAATTATTTTAATTCTTAAATATAATATGACCCAATTAATTAACTGGATTATTTGTATAATTTGTTATTAATAAGTAAGTATGTTGCCACTGTAAATATATTATATTATATGACATTCGGTTTTTGTTTGTGTTCATAGCACAATTAAATGAATGTTGTATACCAGATTCTGGTGAAACGTGTGAACAATATTTAAATATTATAGACCTACCTTTTTACCACTTTTCAATCAAGGTAATTTGTATTTATGTAGTAATATAAGTATATCCAAATATAAAAAAATACAAACTTTAATATTAAGAAATAATATTAATAAGAATAGTAGGAAAAAAATAAATGTAGCTTTTTTTCTTGAAATACAGTTTAATCAAATTTTCAACTCACATTTTTTTATATTTACCAGCTAACAGAACACGGTAACCATATTTATCGAAACATGAACAATACCGTGGACATAACAGAGTTTACTGTATCGCCCATGATACTCCCCCCCCCCCCTTCCCTGCGTTGGCATTCCTGAGGACTAAGGTGTTATGCCAGATATGCCATTATAAGCTAATCAAGAATACTTGACTATAAGCATTCTTCATATTTAACTACTGGTTACTGATTACAACTTATCTCCAGTCTTTGAGTAAATTTATCCTTCCATCTTCTCGCCTATTATTTTTCCTATCACTTGGGTATCACTCTAAACCATCAAAAAGTAAATAATTATGCTGTAGTAAGTGCTTAAGTATGACTTGTTTTAATGAATGAACGTAAAATGGCGGAATGAAAACGGATGATAAAACAAAAAGGATGAAATTAAATCTGACAGCTCATCGTTGGGAATTCAGAAATGAACGCTAGAAGGTCAACGTCACAGAATACATATAATTCTTTTCTCTCAATAAAAAACATTATTATATTAATATAGAAGTAGTGTGTTTAAAAACAAAAAAAAATTGTTTTGCTCTTGTATACTAAATGTGTCTAAATGCAATAAATATTGTGGACGATGTTTTTCATCGTCAAAAAATTCCATAATCCTAGAAATTAGTAAAATCCAAAGTAGATAAGTAAATTTGCATTTTATAAGTCTTTAGAAAGCTCTTTGTGTTCTGCACACTATTAATTTTAACTACGTTTGTTTCAGAATTAATGATACACACCCTTTCTTAAGCACCATTTACTTATGAGTGGGGTTTCATATATTTCGGATGTGTACTACGTACGTAAAACGTACCCTGCAACAATAATTAAGAATAATAATTTAATTTAAATGAATGGTCATGGTCTTATGCTTTCATAAAACACTGTATAAATATATATAGTAATATTATAATAATGAATTCTGATGAAATATCTACAGATTTTATTTTCATATTTATTTTATTTGAGTTTATATGCGCGATTTAGTTCGTGTGATGGGGATGTGTTAATTGACCGAGGTGAAATTAGCCTTTCTTTTCTATCCTAAATATTATGAACCGTTAATTAATTATTATTTACAAAGTTACTTAAAAATTTATAATATTCGTAACGTTCATAACGTTTTTTAATAAATATTTAATAACTAAAAGGAAGAAATATCATCCGTTTATGAGTTTCTCTTTAACATAAGAGTTTTTCTCTGTACTGAAACAAACTCGGAAATTTATAAACGGAGAGTAAAAAAAGAACGCGTGGTTATTTTCACATACTTTCGCAGAAAATCCTAACTTTGTACAACGTAAATGAATAGTATAACACATTCATATTATCTTACAAAGTGTTTCCTTCTCATAATATTCTATACTTGCCTGAAAAGAGCAAACGACATTATGTACATTTTACGTGGACTCACAAAACAAACAACATAAAATTGGGAAAGCCGCAAAGCGCAACAGTGCTTATAAAAAAATATACCATTAGTATAACGTGAAACGTAATGCACATTATATTTCATAACGGAACGAGAGGCCGAAAGACACCACTGTATCCATTTGTGATATCATGTTGTGTAGAATTCATGATAATAAATTTAACTGGAAAGGACATTTTATCCGACAGAATAAAAACTACAAAAGGTTATGGCCCCAATAAATAAAAAGTAAATTATTCCAAAATAAATAAGCTTAAATTATCTATTCTTTTAAGTAAGATGTTGGAAGTTTCTTAATTAAAAAACTATATATCTGTGTTCAACCAATATATAACATCGAAACCTAAAATTATTATTTCATATAAATAATGGGGTCACGTATGATGACTATTTCGCACGAATTTCTTCCCATATATAAGAGAAACTTTACCATTACCATGATGAGTATATGGCGTAAATTATCTGTTATTACAATTAGATTATTTTTTCTTCTATTTTTTATTAAAAAAAGTATATTTTGTAAAAAAAATGCTATGGCTTAAATCATTCATGATTATCGAAAATTATTTTACGTTTTATTACGTTTTATTATACAAACTCTTTACCTAATATGATTTTTCTATTTACTAAATTTAGTTTAAATCCTTACCAGTATGAGTAACAAACACCTAAATATTATTACATATGTCACATTTATATATAATCGTTGTCTATTCCATAACATTATTTAGACTCAATGGACTTAGTCGCTGTATCCGTGTTTATTCCGCCACAAGCGAATCTTTGATATCAAATTCTTTAAGAACAGACCGCACGTAGCCGCCCCCACATTCACTCATATTTTAGATAACGTTCGACTGTTTCTCTGCTCCTCCACAAACGGAATGTGAATAAAAATACGAATATTTTTACCATTTCGGCGAGTCGTGCAAAGATATTGTAATTTATTGTGGTTACTGTAGATTCTATTCTTTTGTATTAAAAAATATCGTTGAAATTATTATTTTCTGGTTGAATTATATTTTTATAATATTAGGAGTTTCCTGATTAATTTATTTCATATCATTTAATAAAAAGTAGCTATATTGTTTTGACATATATATTTTTTTAATCAAAACGAAGTACGCCATTTTTGTTAGTATTGCAAGTAATCGGCTTCAAAATTTCCCAAATCAAGACGATTTTTTTTTATTTGCATTAGAGACTATTTTTCTGATATAAATATATGTATATTTATATATATTTATCGTCATCATCATCATCTCAGCTATTTTATCTGTCCACTGCTGAAGATAAGACTCCCCATAGACAGCCATAAGGAAGGGCTACCTTCATCCACTGCATCTGAGGTTGTCACTCCATCTAGTGTGGGGTCGCCCTACACTACGTTTGCCCATACGAGATTCTTAACTTTTCTTCATCATCGATTGTCGGTTCTTCGAGCTATGTGACCAGCCCCTTGCTACTTTATCTTGCTTATCCTTGGAGCTATGTCGTTGACTTTGGTTCTTTTACAGATATCCTCATTTCGGATTCTGTCACGCAAAGAAACTCCGAACATAACTCGCTTTGCATACGGGCAACCGTGTAGGTCCATGTTTCGGTTCCATAGGTCATCACTGCTGTATATATTGCTTACAAATTAATATACATATACTCGTATTAATTAAAATAGCGACCAGTTTCAATGATTTTATTAAAACCAAAACATATTTTAAGCACATATTATAGATGAATATAATAAATCAAAGGAATTAGTACAGATAAAGAGCATTATGCATTAGTTTACTCTGTTATTTCAAAAATATTTGTAAATATTTCGTATCATTTTTATTTTTCTAATTAACTTAAAAAAATATATTTTTATCTATATTCGTTTCTGACGAAACATTTTTATAGAGAAAGAAATTTTCTGATCTTATAGAGAGAAAAAAATTATATAAAGACTATACTTATTATCATAAAAAAATATAGTGATTAAAAAATACATCCATTCGATGCCTTTAATGTAGTCCTAGTAGTAAATAGCCACTTTTAGATTGATACGATTTTCATATTAGTTAATTTATCAGACCTTACTACTGGGTTAGTATTTTTAATTTACATAAAGTATTCACACAATATGTAAAACAAAATAACCGAGTTAATAGAAAACGGAATATAGGAAAAGGGAAACTCGTAATAAAATCTTATACCGAGCCGCTTCGTCAGCACGGAAACAGTTGGCTAATAAGAGAAGGACCTCTTATGGGGAGAGGCACTCACGCACAATGTCCTAATCATGAGTACGAAAATGCTCGGATAAAATAACTATGGGTAGAGTTTTGTTCCAACAGTGGGATGATAATAGGTTATAGAACGAAGTCTTCAGACATAAACAGTTGTATTAATTCAGGTAAAATTCTTAAGTTAGTAGTCAATTCTATTAATTTATTAATTTGACCATCTTTCATATTTTGTAAATGAGCGTGTATTGTCGTTAGAAAATATTATGTTTAATAACTAAATACTTAATATTTTTTTCAGACTAATAAAGTCAATAAAGAGCAAGCAAATCACCTAATATAAAAATGAGAAGATCAAGACGGTTATCGAAACTAAAAGGTAGCACTAGATGGCAGCACAAGATCACGTGCTGAGGCAAGATGGCGGCGGGCGCGAACATGCGAGGTAGCGGACCTTTATCGCGCCTTCTTGTCCTGGCAATTTTACATGTCAATTTTATTGGTAAGTGAGATTTATTAAATTTTTAAATAAAAAATAATAGATCCTAGTAACTGTTGAAAGTTTGATAATGTTTAATTCAGTTACGGTTGTTACATTTTTTCTCGGTGAATAATATTTTTTTATTTGAGCATACCGATATTTCGACGTAACTGACGAAATACGAATAGGAATAGAAACACTTATGGTAAAAATGTGTTTACCTTTTTCTTTGTCGTCATTTATATGCGTCAAAGAAAACACTATCTAAATTCATTTGAAACTCACCCACCATTGAGGTGAATATTTTTGATTATTGACTTCATTTTTAACCATTATTAATTAATTCTATGTTTATTTTTATCAATGGTTTCTACTTGATCGATAACTTAACGCTGTCTTCATTATTGAAGTTAGTTAATTTGGTATATTTCGATTGCTTCCTGTGACGTACCACAGTCCACATTCAATCCAATGCTTTGATCACTGATAAATATTAAGCGTTTGAAAAAAATTGTGTTTTGAGTTAAAAAAATAATGTTAGTTTTATAAGAAACTATGAGTTTTACACACTATGCATTGTATTTAACACTATGCATACCTTCACTTTAAACAAAACCCCAAAAGCTTTTTCTTTTCCACAATTAACGTTACGTAGACATAATAATAATAATAATAATTAGGTACTAATTATACGAAATCGCCACAGAACTACGGTACTGTTGATCTTGCGTCCTAGCATTATATATTATGCAACTTTGAATAGCAAACAAACTGACAACCCATCTGATGGAAAGTGGTAACCGTCCCCTATAGACATGAGCAGTACCATGGACATAACAAAGTATACTGTTTCACCTATGATACTCTTCATGCGTTGCCATACATATACGAGTATATTATGGTATATAGAGTATATTGTGATGAGATTTCTGTTTGACTAGGACATTTTATAACCTAAACTTTGTAACGAACCACATAGCGCATTATCATTAAAATTTATTCGCGCTGCAATATGCTGCACACAACATTTGCAACATTTTGGATTTACTAACGTTTGTGGAATAGATAAGTTTTAATTAAATTAATATTTATAAAATTTAAGAATATGGTCCACGAAAAATTATTTCAATCTTAACAAAATTAAGTCTCAATGAATTAAAAAGTGATCATTAAAATTGGTTCAGAATTTACGAAAATAATATTTAATTACACATACCTATACAGAAAAATTTAAGTGATATGAGAACACTGTCCTTTCTGTAGTCGGTTGAGACTGTATTTTCATTACATTTTCTTTTATCGATAAAATAATATAAATATATAAACTTTAAATAAAAGTTATTTAATTATAAGTAATAAAACTAAGCATATTCAAATTTTTACTGCTTTCATAATATTGACTTTCAGTTTAATTATATTTGGAAATAGTCCACCTATTTATTTTTGTACGCTCGCATTATAAATCAACACCAGCTGAAATTTAATATGATTTTATAACAATACAATACATTAAAGATTTTAAATAAATAAACAATTCATATTAACTCATTTGTAGTATAAATATAATTCCCATAATAATTTGTACTTATTTGTCGTATTTCGTTGTCTTTATAAATTTGCTGACTTATTTAGCTTAAATATTCGTCGTACTAAATTAAATCTAATACCCTATTTTATAAAATTATTTTCAACATTTAATTTTAATAATAACTTGTAAATTAATAACAAATTACTTAATGATCCTATGTATTCTGCAATCCGACTAAGTGAACATTTCTTATTAATTCTGAATATACTTTAATATTTCTTCACTAACAAACACCCAAAAATATCTTTAGGAAATGTCACATTTATAACACAAATTGTAACCTATGGGTTTATTCATGAAATTTAGAATAAAAAATATAACTTATGATCCACCTGTTTTCAATATCTATGTCCCCCTAAAAACAGGAATAGGACTATTTTTCTTGCGATTTTCAGCATATGGATGTTGAGCGTTTGAGGGAGGATATGGGGAGTATTGATTGGTCTCCCTTGTTGTTGGCTTCTTGTATCGACACCTGGTGGGGATATTGAAAGCGAGTTGCTTAAAATTTACAACATTCATGCACCAGTCCGACCGGTAAATCAAGCTTTATCAACTTTATCAATGATTATTTTTTCTCTAAATAATTCATTTCGAATTGGGGGTGACTAAGTCCTCAAATACTATTTCATCATATCTTTTCTAATCTTATCTGTGACTAAGGCAATCTTTCTCTATTTGTCTGCCTCCATTCACTTTTAGCTGTGATCCAATTTCATTCAATCTGGTCTATTTTTAGATAATTGAGCGTTATTAAATAAGGGCCATACAAAAAAGTCTTTACAAATTTACAAAAAATAATAACAATATGTGATGCAAACAGTTCTTTATTGTGTGCCATTACATGTACTAAGGCTACTAAGTACGTAGAGAATTAACGAGTTTTTTATCAATATAGAGGGTTTTTATATAAACACATAATTATAATATAAAATTTGTATTATATACAGTCAACCTTAAGGTTAATAATATATATATATATATATATATATATATATATATATATATATATATATATATATATATATATATATATATATATATATATATATATACATATATTCGTTGTATTCGTTGATTTGAGGTACCCCGGAAAAGGCTTGGTCTATAATGTCCAAGTTTTTCACAGTAGAGGAGTACGCTATAATTACACGAGTACCAATATTATTTAAATTTATAATAAGTTTAATATTTTGAAGAAAACAATAAAGAGTATCTATCTATTTATCCTACGTATGTTACTTTTTTAATACTCAATAGCAATTTCTTTAATTAAAACACGTTTCGAATGAATTAAGATCAATTTGTTCCTAACTTACCCTTCATATTTGTTTGTAAATATACACGAAGTTGTAGAGTATAAATTAATGTTAGCTCATCAAAAGGCATACTAAAGGGTACAAAGGTAAAGGGCACATTGGTAAGCAGACTTCTGGTTAATTATAATTAGTACTATTGTTTCACTAGTTCTCTTGTACGCCTTTTTTAAAACTCATATTTTTTTATTTTATATATTTTATCAACTTTATAAATGTAGACAATTTGATGACCCATCTGATGGAAAATAGCGACCATCACCTATATACATAAACGGCAGTATACATAATATGTATAATGTTTACCCATTATGCATCTTATATGTATATTACTATTTCTAAGAAAGAAGGTTATATACTCAATCAAGTTGACCTCCATGCAGTTCCAACTGGAAACTGTTGTGACTAATTCCTGTCGAATTCGTCATGATAGATCAATTGATTGACCAGAGGGAGACTTTATACAAAAGTGGTTTGCTTGGGCACCTCTTTCCTATTCGTGTTTCTACTGTAAAGCAGTTATATTTGCATAGCTGTGTTTCGGTTTGAAAGGTGGAATATGGCAGTAAATTTACAGGGTACAGAGGAATAACACCTGAGTCCTCAGGAATGACAACGCATGGGCGATATCATGAGCGAAACAGTATATTCTGTTATGCACATGGTATTGTTCATGTCTATAGGCAACGGTTACCACTTTTCATCAGGTGGATCGCCAGCTTGTTTGACATTCTAAGTTGCATAAAAAATTGACCTGTATTCATCCCCACCTATTATCTCCCACAAGTGCCCCACCAGCGTAAATTGCTAATGTAAGCAGGGTTACCAGTCCATTATCACCCATAAAAAAATCTACAACACTCAAGGTTGACTGGAAGAAATCCCTTCAAGAGATAAGTCCGCCTGTGTACTGTGGTATTTTCATGATAACCTCATATCGATGTCATATTTAAATATACCAAGAAATAATCAAATAGGACGAAGAAAAAATAAGAGCAGGAAGTCAATTCATGTATCATAATAAAATAATCATGATAGTTTCCGGGGAGACTGTGAGGCGATCAACCTGGTATATTATAAACAGTATGCTCGCTAGTTCCCATTATTAACAATCTTCTCTCCTCACGTGATGCCAGGTATTTACTACAAAATTTGTATTCCTTTTACCACTTTAGAACACAGAACCCTAAAATACAATATACTCTAACTGTTAAATTCAAAGATATGAGACATAAAAAACAAGATGTAAACAAAACTCAATATGGCTGAACTTTCAGTTGAGTATCTACTATACAATAAGTCCAGCGAGACATTTGCAAATGGATTTTTTGTAGTCACATTTTGAAGCGATTCATTCGACGATGATAAAAATATAAAAGCGGGGTAGAGTAACGTGGATAACCCTTTCAGGACTCAAAGCGTGGCTCGGAATCCTCATTGAAAAACGGCCCACGGGTCAAAATGTCAGAACGCTCCGTGAAACACGCGTGTCTCCGTTGGAAAGGTTATGGATGGATTGGCTAAATCTCTAGGGTACCTATCTGTGTATAAATGTATACATAAATATGGTGTTTACTTATTTTTGTTCTGGCTTCATTTCATGTACATTTTTGCCAAAAGATGATTGCATGGGTGATTGAAATAATATTTATTTAAGTAATAATTTAATAGTTTAATAATTGATTTGGAAATACCAGGTAATTCCATTATAAATCAACTTCGAATCGAAGAGAATGCACTTTGTGCATGTCGTCAATATGATAATAGACAATGAAAACGAATATTTTATTGCCAATGATAATAACATTTTCTCGCTACAATATGCAAACTCGATCATAAGAATTTTTGAAATATGGTTATTTTTTCTCGTGCATTTTTCAATTTATCTTTATATATCAATAGGTTCATAACTTAAGAGTTACCCATATAAACATATTTAAGTTTTAATTATTGCTATTTAAAAAAAATCTAAATGAATCATATATAACCGTGTGGTCTGGGCATAGAATGGACCACTACTTCCTTTCCCAGTGTCGTAAGAGGTGACTAAGAGAACTTAATAGTCAAGGTATGGGTAGTAGCGTTCTTCTTAAAACATTACTGAAGCCTAACTGCGG